CCAACATAAGTGGTGTCCTTATAAGAAGCAGAAGAGAACTAAGGATGTTTGTGCACAGAGAAAAGGCCATGTGAGAACAAGGCAAGAAGGTAGCCATCTGTGGGCTGATGGGAGAGAGACCTCAGGACATATCACACTGTTGGTACCTTAGTCTTGGACTTCTAGCCTCCAGAATGGTGAGAAAATAAATTTCTGTTGTCTAAGATGCAGTCTGTGGTATTTTGTTATAGCGGCCCTAGCAAACTAATACACAGTGAAAGAGATCAGAGAACATTGAAATTAAAAAAAATTTTTTTCCCAATATCACTTTTAGTTTAGATGTTTTTGTGGGTTTTTTTTGCCCCCCGCCCCGCCCCGCCATTAGCTGCTTTCCTCATGTCAGTGAATTGCTGATGCTTGTCTTTATCCAAGTTTACCACTGTTCTCTGTGTAAAGCTAATACTTTACTTTTTCACCTACTTTATACTCCTGCACTAAATGTTCAATCTAAGGGCTAACTTATAATAGGTGATTTTTTTTAAGTAGCAAAAATATTCATTTTACAATTAAAAAAGATTTTCTGAGAAGTCCTAACAACTTTGTTTAAGGTAAGAGGGAATTTTATACCTATAGCACCATCAACATCCCATGATGTCAAAAGATATTTTTTGTGTACCTGCTGTGCAGTAGGCACTGTGGTAGGTGCCAGAGATATGGTAATGAACAAGTTAGAGAATCTCCCTGCTCTACAGAGAAGGCAGCTGGTAAACCATTCAACCAACCAGCTGACCAACCAATGGTTACAGTCACAGTAAGAATGAAATAAACATTATGCCATGACAGAGATTAGTATGGGAGGCCTCCTTGAGGAGATGCCTTTAATCTGAGTTTGGAAGCCAGAGAAGTAGCCTTTACATACATGTAAAGAGAATCAGTGCACACATGTGTGGCTGGACAGGGCAAGGGTAAAGTGGGAAGAATGTTCTTGGCACAGGGAAGAACTAGCATCATGGTCTTGAGGCAGTTTTAGGAACTGTTTTTAGGACTGATTAAAGTGGATGCTGCTAAGTATTGGGATTAAGTGGGAGAAATCCATGAGACTGGGACTGAGATAGGACAGGGCAAGGGCTGGATTGGGCACAGGCTTGTAGGCCTGGTGAAGGCTCTGAGTTTTAAACCAAGTGCAGTGGGAATCTATTAAAGGGTTTTAAGCAGGCAAGCCAATAAAAATTTAGACCTCATATATGAAACCTAGAAATGGCATCAAATATATAATTTCCTATACTTGAGAAAAACATAAAAAAAAAAAACAAATTTTAACCTATTTCTATGCGATCAGGGGTCTAATAACTAAGTGACAGGAATTGGTCATGACATCAAAGAATGGACAGGAGCCTTCAACTGCACTCCCTCTCTCCTTTATACAGGGTTTTTTTCAGAGCTGAGAGCAATATGTCAGAAGCTTATGAATATGGCAAGTATTAAGGATATAATTATGGGTACAGTTAGAAGTTCCAGGCTGGTTTCCCATCTTTTTAGTCTGCCTGCCCCAATTAGTCCCTATAAACCTCTAACAAGGCCAGTCCTTGATGAACTTTAGGGACAGGCAGAAAAAGCCCTCACCATATTACATTTTAATAACCCTTCTCCCCCATTGGAGAAGATGGTTGAAAACCATTAAGGCTTTTAAAACTTCACTGAATTAGGAAGACAGCAGGAATTCTCCCTTGAGCTACAGTGAATTGATGTGACTTATTTGACATCAGAACCAGCAAGGACACAGAAGTGTTTCTCTAATTTCTCAGTAGACTATTTACAAATGAGTCAGTTTCCCATTGTATTAAGTAGTTAATATGGGGAAAAGGCTCCCACACAGACTTAATCAGGAGCATATATGAATAATTACAAAACAAATATTTTAATTAAGAACAGCTATTAGGTTCCTGTTTGTAGACCATCTCATGAAGGATGTAGAGACAGAGAGCCTGAGGAATGGGGTGGAAAACAGATGGGACCCAGTGTCAGAAGACCTGTGTGCAAGCACTTGATAGCATGTGACCTTGGATAAGTCTCTTAACATGTCTAACATTTTCTTATCAGTGAAATGGAATTAATAATCTCCAAACTTATAGAGCTTTGGTGAGCAAATAATGTGTAAGAAAGGGCTCTGTAGTTTTTGAAGAACTTCATAAATGTAACATTTATTATTCATATTCTGGCTGCCATGATGAAATACAGGGACTAAAGACAAAATTCTTGCTATTTTGAAGATTGTAATTAAAATGGAAAACCACAATGTGTAGACTAAATACAGAAATGATAACTTTAACAACCACCATTCCTATTAGTAGTATGCACTCAAATATCTGTTAAAATGAAATAAAAATAATGTAGTAGGATTTGCGGGGCACCTGGGTGGCTCAGTGGGTTAAAGCCTCTGCCTTCAGCTCAGGTCATGATCCCAGGGTTCTGGGATCGAGCCCCACATCAGATGCTCTGCTCAGCAGGAACCCTGCTTCCCTTCCTCTCTCTGCCTGCCTCTCTGCCTACTTGTGATCTCTGTCTATCAAATAAATGTAGTAGGATTTGCAATTTCAGGAAACAGGTATGCAGTGGGGTAGATGCAGTGGGGAGTAGTGTCTAGAAAGATTCTAGAAAATCTTTCTGGGGGGGAGCACGTGTTTATGTAGGTTTTATAATAGGCAATGTAGCATGATTAGGAGCTTGGGATCCAGCAGATAATGGTTGAAGTCTGTGATCTACTGTTTCATAGCTATGTGACTATGGGAGAGTCACGTAAACTCTGTAAATTGATACTTTTATTTATCTATAAAATGGGGAAGAATGCATTTACTCTATGGGCTTACTCTAAGGACTAGGGGAAGTTATATAAATAAAGTTTTTATACAGTGCTTCGCAGGAGGCATGTGCTTTTAAAAATGGTAGTTTTTATGACTATTACACTTTCATATCTCACCAGAGTTGAAGGACAGTGAAGCATTATTAGCTATTAAGATGACAGAGAAGGTGAGAGATCACTACATCACTTCCATAATCATGGCCGGTGTAGGGAATTGTTAGGATCTAATTCAATACAGAGGAAAGAGAAGAAAAATGAGAAATTCAAAAGAGAAGTTGGAAATTTCTAAGGACAGAAAAAAGCATACAGAAATTTGGAGGGCAGCACCTCTTAACAAGGAGCTTGCTTTGCTGATCGGTCTTAAATTCTGCTTTATTTTCAAAATAAATATCACCTCTAGCTTTCATTAAGTAGATGTGAGGTGTCTCTGTGGAGACAGTTTTACTGTCTTAAGTGACCATCAAGCCAATATGATCAATCACTTGAGTAGGGAAAACGACTGGTAGCAACGAACTGGGAGCTTTTCTCTTTGGAGACTTCTTTGTTACAAATTTAATTAAGAAAAGGTCAAAGAAGAGTGGGAGAAGTAACTGGAGTGTGTTCAGAATTAGCGGGGAGAGGACCCAGTATAAGACCACGGCTTTGCCTTCAGACATGATTGAATCTGTAACAATAATACTCTTCTTTGAGGAATGTCAATACATTTTGGGGGGGGGTGTAATTCAGTATTTAGTTCTGTTGTCTCAGCTGCCATATAACATTGGGGATCCAAACTCATTGGGAATAAGATTAAAGCAATCAATCTTCTCTCTCACAGTTTTGAGAGGCTGAGAGGTAACAAAGAAGTGGAACTTTTGGATCTACAAATTTGGCAACTTTGAACAAAGAGGTGGGGTCAGCTGAAGAGAGCTTTTTATTTTTATCTTCCTGAGGTGTAGGATAAAGTATACAATGAAACTAGTGTGCTAGTTATATTTTTTTAAAAATACAAATTAAGATAAATATGTAACTACTAATAGAGGTTCATCGATGTATCACCTAAAATCATCTCATGTACTAATTTTTAAAGAACAGTTCTATTCATCAGGAGCAGGAAACAGTTTAGGGAGGAGAGTTCTAGAAAAAGAGGTGGTTAACAATACCAAGTGATGAAGGAGATTAGGACTGAGTAGTGGCCATCACATGTTTCAGGGATGCTTTTTGTGAAATAGTGGAGGAAAGGAGGCAGGCTATTTTAAAGGCAATTTAACCCATAGGTTCACTTAATATCTATAATGGCAGACAAAACAACAAAACAAAACACTAGCCCTTAGTTCAGAGAAAGTTAGAGTTATTAAGCAAAATTCAAATATTTCTAAGGAACTGGTTTGCTAAACACATTTGCAAACACAGGAATCTAAACTAGACTGAAACATATGATACATAGTCTGTCCACTTATTTTCATTCAAATTGCAAGTGTGCATTTCTTATCAAAACCAAGTAACTTCAACCATTGGGAGGAATCTCCTAGGTTGCAATTAAAATAGAGAAAAACTGTACGAATACCTTTATCCAAATATGCAGGGCTATCAGAATTTACACATTTGACACACACCTGGACATAAGCTCTGCATATTCTTCCACTTGAAAGCGGACTTTATGAGGACGGTTCTCCAGAAATACTGGTAAGTCGGAGAAGAATTGAAAGACAATTTTTCCCGCTGTTATCATTAAGGAAATGATTTCCATAGTATGATCCCATCCCATCACTTTCCCTCTTTTCATTTCTATCTTAAACGAACAGAGCATTGTCCTCCCAATCAGCAGAGACATCCACGACCTTGGAATAAGACAAATTCTTGCATCAGTGTTGTGTGGTAATTTGACATGGCACGTGTAACACAGAACTGACTGGTGGAACCCAGAGCCCTGCGTCCACTGAAGGCTAATATAGAGCATGGCCTCCCCTTCCACCAGTTTTCCCTTTAGCTCTGATGAATTCCATGGTACATGAATGGGAAGTATCCAAACTAACATCATGAAAGGCGTCTTAACTGAATCAGTTCAAAAATGACTTAGTGACACCTGTGGCATCCATTTGCCCCTTTGCTGAGACTTCTTGATGAGGGATCAGATTGTTACCCTCCCTAATGACAGTGAAGCAGCCAAACCTGCACTAACCATGATGGGTTGTTCCGGAGCCTGTCGACATACAACCCGATGAGAACATGTTCATCAGCTAGCCTGTCTGCCACATTCAGGCTGTACTGTATCCTGAAACAGGGCAGGAGGAAGAAAGGGTGTTGGTAGGAGAGGCGAACAGAAGTAAGCAGAGTAGGTAGGAGTGAGTTGTGATAGAAAAGGCATTTAGAAAACCAAGCAGGTAGAGGAAAAGTTAAGTTATGTTCTATGAAAAATCCAAGCAAAATCCAAGCAACGAAATACACAATTCCATTTCACTAATTAAAAAAAAAAAATAAAAATTTCCATTTAGGTAAAGTAGCTTTTAAGAAAACAGATTTGCATTCTTCAAGCCACTAAAGCCACGAAATTCATCTGTACAGTAAACACATCGATTGGGTTGCAAGCAGAGAGTAAATATCCTTGGGAAAATCAAATCTAAAGTTTAGTCGTTTAAAAAAAAAAGAAGTCAGAGAAAGTGAATAACACAGATGTGTCTACACCAATGAACTACGTGGTACTGTTAGTGGGGTTATAATAGAGCTCCTTTTACTAAATCAAAGTTGGTCTTTCAAACGCAAAGCATTTTTGACACAAGAAATCTCCCTTTTTTAGTTTAGTTAATTCAGGTTTACAGTACACTCTGGCTTTAACTTACCCTTTGCCCTTCAGAAAAGCCGGAGCAGCCCTAGCCAGCAGTTTGTTCTGCTGTACTTCACTGTCCTTGGGAGGAGAGCTAGTTAATAAGATGGGAAAGCCAAGAAGAGCGTAAACACAGCGATGCATTCAAGAACAGAATTGGCTACAGAAGCTCCCGAGTCTAGATCCAAGCTCTATTTGGACAGTTCTCTTGTTACCCTGAAAGGTTCCAGATGTTTTCAGATTTCCACAGAGTTGAACTAGGAGTAGAAACCTGGCCTGAGAACCATAACTGCAATCACACAAGCGTCCATGATCCCTGATTTGACCTCGCTATTTGCTTAAGCAACAGACTGCATATGCCTGAACGTAATGAAAATTCATTCAACATTCATTATGGACTATCATGTCAACGGCCCAATAGTTCACTAAGTGCTGTCAGCCTTTAGATCCCACTTAAAGAATATACTTCTCCAGTCTTCCCTATATTTTCCAACTTTCTGAGTTGAAGAGAGATTTGAAAATTACCGACAGACTGCGGTCCTATTAGAAGTGCTTTACTACTCCAGGCACAAGTCACCTGACCCTTGCTGAGAAGCTGTGAAGAAAACTTTCAGAGAAATAGAAATATATATTCATATTCCCTGGGTCTATGACTGGTGAACAGAGTCCTATCAATATAGCAAATTCTTATCATTTTAGGTTCATTATGAGGAACACTTATTTAGTAATTTAAATGATAGTTTTAAAAGTTTAAAGTGTGGTTTTATTAAGTGACCAACAGAAATAGAAATAATAATTAATAAAGTATGGCCAACCAAAAGCCATCCAGGATCTACTGAGCATGCTTCTTTGGGAAAAATGGTATTGACCCTTAGTGATACAATTGGACTTTTAATGTGCTTAAAGGGAGGCCTGCTCCTTTGTAGGTTGATAATTTTCCCTCTAAAGCTGGTGGACTGAAAACTATCCTCCCCTTCTTTACATGGAGAATACAACAATTAACTCTCTGACTTTGATGACCAAATCTTTAATTTCTGGGGTTGAAATCACGAGGTGTTACCACAAACTTTCCTAACATTTCAACAGGTTCTAAATGTTATGTATGTATTAAGATGGCTTATAAAGTAGTTAAAATCTCAAAAACTTCGACAAGTTTTAAGGATTTACTACAAAGTATCACTCGCTTAGACCATGGAGTACAAAGAAAATACAAACATGAAAACCAGTATCATGTTAGAATTATGCACATCGTAACTAGAATTCTTGTTTTATAATTATATATACTAAGAGATTACGGAAGTAGTGAGATCTCTGGCAAACTTAAAATCAAAATTGATTTATAAAGAGAATGTCTAGTAGAGAGTAGCTCTCATGTTTGTTGACTGTATGACCTCACTTAGCTTTGCAGGAATGCACCTATTACTTAAAGAGTACAACTGCACCTAAATGAAACTGACTTTAAAAATGAAATGATTAGGGGCGCCTGGGTGGCTCAGTGGGTTAAAGCCTCTGCCTTCAGCTCAGGTCATGATCCCAGGGTCCTGGGATCGAGCCCCGCATCGGGCTCTCTGCTCAGCAGGGAGCCTGCTTCCCCCTCTCTCTCTGCCTGCCTCTCTGCCTACTTGTGATCTCTGTCTGTCAAATAAATAAAATCTTTAAAAAAAAAAAAAAAATGAAATGATTAGTGTTCAAGGAGAATTCAAGTTCTTGATGAACATAATGAGTTTTTTCCAGCCTACTGATCTTCACCTTTGAAGATGATGAAGCTGCCCATCAGGATGAAATAGCCACCTTAAGCCATCATAGTTGGTATTTTCCTATCATCCCACCAAAGCAGCATTCCAAACCTTGCCTTCCGAAGCACATCCCTCTGTATTCATTATCCGGTAACGACAGTCTCTGATGCCCAATTACCACCCTCCCCAACTTCTCTCTTTTTAACTCAAGATAGATGTACCTACTATATAATTCATTTCAGATCCCTGCAAAACCACTTAAAAAGTGGTGTGAGATTTCAAAAATTCTTCCCTCCAAACTTAACCATTTCCCTGCCTTGTTTTACCCCTTGAAACCCAGAGACTGTGATGGTATTTGATTCCTTAAATCCAAAACCTAGTGGTTGTGCAGGTACAGCCTGCAGATGCTGAATGCATAGGAAGAAAGAAAGGACTGGCAGAGAAAAGAAACACAAGAGCCTCAACCGGGAGGATGTGTTTGTGACCAGTTATGCCAGAGAAGTCTTATAGGTGGAAGGTGATGTGTCACTTAAGTTTGCTTCTGGGTCACTGGAGGAGACCTGCTGGCTTCAGGAAGGGAACAGAGGCCCAGATTCTCCTTTGGTGGCCTTATTCTTTATCTCCCAATTCTTTGGGCTCCTCTTTCCTTTCCCTACTACATTTGCCTGTCTTCCCTCTTCTCTTCTTTTTTCTTTCTTCTTCTTCCCAAATCCTTTCCTCCTTCAGAGGGAAGAGGAGCAGACATTCTCTCTGTACACATCTCTTTTCATTTTGTTATCATTTCCTTTGCATTAGCCCTTGCCAATGTTGGTTTGAAGAAATCATTTAAGATCTTTTATGTTCCGTCTGCCTCCCACATGAATTCTTGGGAAAATCAGTTCTTGGAAAATATGGAAATTACACTCTCATTTATGAATTTGTAGAACCATACTATTTACTTCATTTAGTTACAGCTCTTAGTATTTAGTGCCAAGAGCATTTCTGACTTTTAGTACTCACTGTCCACATAGTTTCTGGACTTCCTAGATATAGTCTCAAATTCTTCTCCTTGTCATTTATTTCTGGGAAGCCAAAAATACGAACATGTGTAGAGGAAGCCAAGTTCATGATGAAGACAATAGTGGATCAAAATGAAATAGATCAAGAACTTGCAGAGTTGACATGGGAGGTAGTTTTCACTTAAAACTTGGGTCTACAAAGACTTTTCATGAGAAGTATCTTGACTAGATTTTCTTCTGCAGCTTCCAAGGAGTTCAAAGACAGAAAGCAAAGTGAAAGCCTTTTCTCCTGAGTTCTTGTGAAGATAGTCACAATATGTATGTAGTTCATTACCATTTCTTCAAAGCAACATACACTCACAATACTTTATTAGATGTTCAAATTTTCACTTGGTAGCTTGGTCATTTGTGTGGAGAAGTTAGGTGGTATTTCCAATTAGTTGCAGGCTTTGGGATCAGGCACATGGGCACCTACATTCTTCCCAAGAAGCGATGCTTCTGGAATGTCTGTGTGCCAGAATGCAACAACGGTTGGCACATAACTCCAGCTGTAGGATCCTCCCCTTCTTCCACGTGCCTTGTTTTAAAATCAAAATGCATTCTTTCTTCTACCCTCTGAAGCTGGGAACTATTTGGGGTTCCTCTTGACCACCTGTGATCAATTTTTTCTAATCTGAGTCCCAAGAAAAAGCAGGGTCACCATCTCTAAAATTATATGTACACATCTATTTTACTTGTCCCCCCCCGCCCCTACCCAGTCCTTGTCATCGTATAAGTTCATTCTTCTGCACACATACTAACATGAATAGGCGTGGGGACCATCATACCCTGGAGGGGATGACAAGGTAAATTTTGAAGTCTTACGTGTTTGGCTGAAAGAAAAGACATGGGAAATACTCCTTTAGATTTTATTTTTCCTAAAAATTTCTCTATGTTCTCACCAAACCTCTGGAAAAGAGCAACTTTATATAAAGATAAACGTCCTTTTCCCAGATTTTTTTCATACACACACATGCAATGACACAATGGGTTCTGGGATGGTAGAGCAATTTCAAAATGTCTCATATTTATTGATTTTAAAATTCATCCTTGGTTTTGAAAGGTGACAACTAATGTCATATTTTTTGCTTAAGCGTAAAGATTTTTAGGGTGTTCTAAGGTAGCAAAATCATACACAAATGTTCCCTGGTTTTTGCTGAAACCTGAAATGTAGTTTTAAAAGCCGTTCTTGCTTGGCTGTGTTACTCTATTAGCTCTGGTCAAATTTTTTTTCTTTTATTAGACATGAAAATAAAGGATTTAAATAAAAGTTCTGGATGGAGTCTCACAGAGCAACAGTATTATATAAACAAATTATGCAATGTAAAATAATTATTATCACAGTGGCTAAACAGAAAATGATATTTGAATAATGGAAAATTAAAAGCATATTTTCATTTTTACTAATTTTAAATAATTGACAAACGTGTGGTGTTTGAACTGGTAACGGATGACTTGTAAAGTTGGCTTCCTTCTTAAGTAACTAACTGTTAATTGTGAATAAAATTTTGCTTCTCATGTAGGTATGTAAACACAAAACACACATATGTGTGTGTATAGCCATACATGTGTGTATGCATTCACACTTATGAAAATATGTTCATAATACATATGAACATATTATATGTTCATTCACATATGTCTATATATGTATGTACAATATATTATTTATATATGTCAAAACTTTTTGAACTGCACACTTATTTTAAATAAACTCATTGAATTATATACCAATTATATCTCAATAAAGCTGTTCTTTATTAAATTGCTTCTCACTATAACTAACACAGGCTAGTAACAAGGTCACTAAACTAATTTAACTAATTTAAAAGCAATAAAAAAAGGTCCACAAGTTGAGATAATTTCTGAAAAAATTCTGCTTTCCTTTCTATTTCTAATTTTCAATATCTGAGATCTGAAACATAGACTATCTGCCACATGCAAATCAGCAAACCGGCATAAAAAACAGCTCAGTGTTTCAGTGGGAAAATTGGTTGTCATCAATTCAGGCTCACATAAAAGCTGAACCATCCTTTAAGCGGGTACCGTGGAGGAAATAATAAGAATTCTTAGGTCACATTTGATTCACTACATTTACTATGTTGTTCCCCAGATATCATTAAGCCATGTCACTTACATTTTTGCCAAGAGAGCATCTAGAAAACTTTGCTGGTTATAGGGCATGCGCAGAGAAGAACTAAAGTAACTCCAGTAAGAGAATAAAGGTTACTGAGTGAAGAAGAGAGGTGACTGGAGTTTTAATTATGTCCTAATATTTCAGTATAGGAAACAGAATGGAGAGTGAAGACCAGTTTAATTCAGGTTTGAACAAAACTAGCTTATTAGTGGAACTCTGGGGCTACATGGAATAAAGAATTAACTGTGAAGAGTACTTATTTCAAATTTCATGAAATTTCAGACAGTATAACCAGAAAGTGTGAAAACAGTGAAGAAATCTTCAGGGTGGTTGATTTATATGTTTATCTATTTTATGATGTTTATTTATAAATTTATCTCTTTTCCTGACAAGAGAGGATGGTTTTTAATCTCAGAAAAAAATTAACCATGGAGAAAATGTTGGTTTTCAGAAGCCAAGGTTGAATTTGGTGCCTCAATTTTATTTCTATTTACTTTTGATTACCAAAGCACCAATGGTTAAAATTTAGTTTGGATGTTTTAAGTCTCATTAAAAATCTGGGTTGTTAGGTAAAGAATCTTTGGGTAAACAAAATGTTTGAGAAAACTGAAAAAGATTATAATGAATTAGCTTTTTTGTGGTTAAAAACCCAAACCAATCAACCAACCAACCAACCAACCAGTCAACCAATAAAAATCTCATAAATGCTGCTCAGGGGGAAGAATCAGGATTTGGGGAGTATTTGGGATGAGTGGTGTGCCTTCCCAATGTGTGCTACTGAGTCATATACAGTATTAGCTATTAACCAAATGGCACTGTGACAAACCAGAAAATAGCCCATTAGACAGTGTTCGACACACTCTATGAATCATATGCAATTTTCTGACATTTGGGAGAGTGATAAGATCTGGCTAGATGTTATATATAATAGCCAAAGTGATTCCTTTTGTGACTAGTTACTACTCTAGAGGTTCCATTTATAAAAGTATCTGTGAACCTACAAGAGATGGTTCTAAAATTGGGGGTAAAGAAGGTAGCCATTCAAACTTTGGCAATGTCCTTAATGTGGTAGTGAAGACGATGGCCATAATTAAAGAACCTTACTTTACATGGGATAAGACTGCTTCATTTTCTCACATAAATGACGCAAGGATTGTATCAAGATAATTAAGATTTTACAAAGGGAGCGTGATGCCAGCAAAGATAGCCAATGGGCAGGGGTACCTCACTGAGGGTTGTGAAGGGTCCTTGCAGTACTGTTTGCAATGATGATAGCCAATCTTTCATAGGTGTACGTAATGTTGCTGCCACACCATACATGGCTCCTGGAGCTCTTTTCCCAGTGGTAATGAGAGAGTTCCATTGCTCCAGCATTTTCTCCCTATAAATTTATGCATTTATAATAATCTGGGTTTAAAGATAGGGTCATGATCACAAAAACAAGTGAAATGAATTAGTCCACGAATTGTGTCCTTTGACCTACACTGTACCTAACAGCACACACAGGCCCACACACACACGCATGAAGACTTCCGAAGTTTAAGGGTGGGTGCCTTTGAGAATTCCCTCTTTCCTTTCAAGTAAGGGAAAGGTGAATCAAGCACATAGCTAGAAATGGAAATAAGAACAGGGCTGCGGCAGATGGTGGTGGTAACCAGAGTTATATACTTGTGAATCTGTGTGAGGTAGATTGCTAGGGTGTCAAAGGACTTCAAAGATATACCCCAGTGCCTTCTGAAGATCAAAGTGATATGCTTGTAAAGGACTCTAGGTGAGTCATGCCCGGAGTCTGTATGAGGATTCTGAAGCGGTGATTTCAATTCATCCTCATTTTGCTTTATCGTTCCAAGATCTCTCACAACACGAAAGACCCAAAACTCAAGCTAAATAAAGTATCTGTATGCCAAACCTCCCTACTTTCTCAATGCTGCCTTGACACTGATCTTGGCTTGTTGGTTTCAGGCTTCACCTGATTTTTATTTTTAATTTTCAAAAAAGATTTTATTTATTTATTTATTTGAGAGAGAATGAGCAGGGGGAGGGGAGAGAGGGAGAAGCAGACTCTCTGCTGAGCAGAGAGCCCAAGGGGGGCTTGATCTCAGGACCCTGGGATCATGACCTGAGCTGAAGGCAGACGCTTAACTGACTAAGCCACCCAGGAGCCCCGGTTTGATCAGATTTTTTAAAAAGGGCCATTGGGTTTGGGCAGGAGTGGAGGGCAGAGCTCTAGGTCATATTTCTTTGGTTCAGTTCCAAATGTAGGAAGAACAGGACCTTTAATTTATGCCTGCTTTTGGCACAGCAGGTTTCCATCAACCTTTGTGTATGGACACGGTTAAGAAATAAACAGGGGTCACCACCAGCATTATCAAGTGACAGAAATTAAGCACTGGGAGTATGAATTGGTTTTGAAATTGTTCCTGTGATAGGAATCAGACTGCCTTACCTGGGAGGAAAGCGGCCCAGGCCCAGTGAGACAGTAAGGTGTAAATTCTCAAGTCCTTTGCCACAATAATGTGGTCCAGCCATGGGACCTTGTCCCGGTCTTACCCTGTTAGTGCTACAGATCAATCACTCCGAGAGGCTCTTTGATTCAAGAATCTACGAAATCACCTTCTGGGGTCTTGCAGACTCTACAAAAACAGAGACTCCTCCAAAGAAGAAGACCCAGGTTGGTAGTTTTCATATGTATGGATCTCATAGATATTGCTATGAGGCTGTGAAGTCACTAACAGAAGCGGAACAGAGAGGGGAAGAGCCGACAAGGCCAGCTCTGGTTGAACTTCTCAATGGAATCTCATGAAGCCCCAGAAGATGTCGCTATCTCTACGGAGACACACTAGAAGAGGATTTTAGTGACAGAGTGGGATGGCCGGTAGTCTAGCTATGGCACTACGAGCTACAGTTAGTGTTTTAGAGCAGCGATACTGACCGTGGGCTGTGGTCAAGCTGACTGATGTACAGCTTTATGAGCGAATGCTCCTCAGCCCCAGAGCTGGATGCACTTAGCCCCTCAGGTAACCTGAGGGGTGCAAACAATGAGACCTCGTTAAAACCCTCCACGGACAGAGCAAGGCCCACTCAGAGAGGAAAGATGTTCAGTGTACACAGCTTTATTGAACAGCACCCTTGAAACACAAATCAGAGGCTAACCTCCATGGTGAGAGATAGCAAGGCTCGCAAACTTGAAACAACATATCTGTGGTTCACAGGGAACATTCCAGAAGGACTGAAAATGGGAAAAAAGGGAAATAATCCTAGTTTGGGTTAATGGGTACCACGCACCCTGGAGACCCAGAACAGCTCAAAGTATAATAGCAATATTTTAGAGGAGAGGAAGCCATGTTATCCATCTAGACGCATCCACCATAAGCACCGTCCGAGCTGAAATGATATAAAACGACCTTCAGTAAGGATGGGGTATAGCTCTGCTTTGACATTTGCAGAATGCAGGCTCTCCTAATAAAAGCACATCTTTCTCAACGTCATGCCAGATCTTCCCTAGCAAGAGATAATGGGCCTGCGTCCCTTCTAGACTTTACGGTAGGAAAGATGGTTGAACTCACTGGTGGCTCTGCGAAGGAGTGCAAAAAGGAACATACTGAGGGCCAAGACCCTGTCATTTCGCCCTGGAGGTTATGCAGTTCAGTTTTGCCTCTGCACTTCCACTTGTTACAGACTTGCATAATCTATAGGGAGGCAACACCACGAACCACCGTGTCTTATTTATTATGCTAATTACAATTACGGGGAACATCTTCATCTCCTGTTCTTGCTGATGGGCAAATACAGGAACTTAGGGGAAAAAAACATCAGCAGCTTTCTGAGTCTCATTGTGTGCAAATCCTTACTTGAACGCACCAGGCTATTAGAAATTGGTATTTCAGAAACCTCTCCGGGGGGAGCAGACTGATTATGTTCCTTTTACGAAACATGAAGTTGGTTTTTGTTTTGTTTCGTTTTGTTTTGTTTTCTGCTGGAAGGCACTTGAAATCTCATGTTCATTACTCACTCCAATTTTCCTTACCTTTGTTTCCGCTTTCCTGTGAACCTTCTCCGTGTATTTATAAAATAAGTCACTGATACTTTATTCATGAGATTTGATCAAACAATTTGGAGAGCCTCTTGACCCTGCATATTTATCAAGCTAGCACTAAGAGAAGTATTTGCTTCACCTGTTCTTTGCTCATGTGGGGGTGGATTTTTGTATAAAAATAGGAGACACCTTCTCCTTTTTAAGAAGTTCTTCTTACCATCCCTGAAATCACTTAAATGAAAACTATACTTCCAAGTTTGGTTGTCAGCCTCTAGCCTCAGGAACTCCAGAGCTCACCAAATTATAAGGTGAGATTTATAAGCTGTTTCAGAATGTACCTAATAATTTCTCATTGCATCTTGAAATTCCAATTCTCTCACTTAACGGGGCCATTCCAAGTGCTATGAAGGTGACTTTCTCAATGACATGGAATACAGGTGTGTCGATCATAAAACTTAAACACACCCCTCATTCTTACTGTGGGGAGATTGTAAATTCAAGTTTCCAGAAATAATATTCATCCCAAAAGCCATCCCAGCCATTGTCAAAAGCATCCAAAGGAATGAAAGTGAAAACCTGTGACAGATACTTACAAACCAGTTCCAAACAATAATCTTCCACACCTGGCTTGCACTGAAATGTTTTTCTTAACACAGAATCAGGGGTTATTACCAAGGAGAGGGCTTATTTCATAATAAGATTGGAACTTACCTCCTGGTAATAAAAGGACTTCCTGAGGAGGGGACAGAGTGGGAGAAGAGGGTGTCATTCATGCTGGTTACAGGTCTGGGCGGCCTAAAACGAAGGACAATGTGGGGGGAAAGTTAAAACAAATAGAAGTCACAAGTTAAAAACTATCCACCACCTCTCCAGGAAAGGGGCTGGAATCAACACAGAATTTTATATCTTGCAATGAAATTCTTTAAGTGTTTCGGGAAGTTACATTTCCTTAAAAATGTGGAATGTCCAATAAACCTTAGGAGGAAAATCTCTGGACACCACAGGCATGTTTATCCATGAGATTTGAGCCTTGATGTTCCCTTGAGTCATATTCTTGAAGGGAGCAAGGACTCTGAGGTGGCCTCAGGTCCTCTATCTTCTCAAAGGAGAACCTCTAAAAAATTGATGATAAGCACAATCTATATCCTCTCAGAAAGCGGAAGTTCCAGAAACTTCTCCTGTGCTCCACATAACAATGGCTCTTTTTCAAGACATCTGGTCTGGAAGGAGCCTGTTGCAAAATCATATTGAGCCTGAATTGTTCTTGTTCTATGCACAGATGCAGTCAAGCACACCAGGATTGTTATCTGGATGTTCTACACAATAGGGCACATATGCAAGGCATCTAAACTTCCTTTCATATGACGAGAGAAAGAAAATAGCGTTCAGTATTTCTCAGAACTGTGAATGGCCTTAAAGCCCAACTGCATGGGATCTGTCATTTCAAGTTGTTTTCATTTTAGCCTGTCATCCTGTTCCTGTCACTAATGTCTTCGTTCAGGCAAAATGATAGAGCTATGACACCTATCTCATCTCCAAGTGGTTTTTAGTCTTCTATTAGGTTCACTGGAATATGTTCCATGAGATGGGATTGAGAGTTCAGAATATGGGTAATGAGGCAGGGCATCGTTCCGAGTCAGAGGAAATTTTGTTCTCACTATAGTTCTGTACTGGAATTTGATGGAACAGAATTTGTGAACACCAGACATTAATCATGGTAGCCTACAGAATCTGTGTTGGCTTGATCAAGAGACAAAGTTTTAATGGTTTAGTTTCTACCTTAGGGAACCAAAGTTGGTTTTGGATTCCACAATGCAGAGATCCTGAGAAAAAGGGAGACTTGTTTATCCCAGTGTGTTTATGCGACTGGAAATGATGCTATACAGGTTTTAAAAGGTCAGCACAATATGCAAAAATTCATTGAAACTTTTGGTTCCCAATACTTGGTGCTAAACAATGTTCAACGATTTTTACAGACATTATTTGCTGGGGGAGGTGGAAATAGCAGCCTCACTATTTCATCTACTCTAAACATATCAGCTGACATTCTGAAAACTATCTTAGTGTTTTGCATTACTTACGTAGGATGTGTCTTTGACACGTGAGGCTAGTTTAAAACTAATTCTCCCTTGAACACAACACTTTCACCTTGTAGGCAGGATGCGAATTTTATACAAATGTCCTCTGTGAATTTTGAAAAGTTAGGTAGATCAGATATTAAAACAGTGGGAATGAAATAGCTTTCTTTTAACTTTGCAACAAGTTGAAACCATCAACTTGACCAACATTTCTGGGTTTTTTTGAGTCTTTTTTAACTTTCCCATCGTGCTCTAGCTCTAGGAAATGAGAAAACAAGTCGACTTGGAATGCTTTTTAATTAACCTGGTAAATTTACTCTGTAGAACCTGGTCACTGCCAAGCTGAAATTGCAGTTTCTTAGTAAATGGCTTCCTGTTTAAGGTTCATCATGGAGATGTTGAACCTGGGACACAGAATGACTAATCTTGGCACCAAATGGTGCCTTTCAAAGGGACTGAGGTTCTTATTTCCTCCATCATCAAATGGGAAGTTACTTTATCTAATAACTAGGTCACACTGGGAATTTTAAATGTATTGATTCTTGTGAGAAAAGAAATAGCTCCACAAGATAAAGTCACACAGATCGACTGCAAAATTTTCCTTGTGGACAAGACCTTCACAGAGAACATTTTTTTTTTTTAAGATTTTTATTTATTTATTTGACAGAGGGAAAGAGACAATGACAGAGGGAATACAAGTAGGGGGAGCGGGAGATGGAGAAGCAGGCTTCCCACCGGGCAGGGAGCCCGATTTGGAACTTGATCCCAGGACCCTGGGATAATGACATGACCTGAGCCAAAGGCAGATGCTTAACAACCGAGACACCCAGCTGCCCTCACAGAGGATATTTTTATAAAATTGGCATTCATTTGTGACTAGAAAGTATTCTGCTTAAGACAGAATTAGTTTTAAACTAGTTTGATGTTACTCACTTGTGTTCTGTCTCATAACCACTTATAATTATGATTACGTCTTTATAAGCACACAGGGGACTACTGAACTACTTACCAAGTGTCACTTTTGGCAGCAAGAAATTGAATGCAATAGAGACTGTTAATCATGGTAAAATTAACAAGAAATACAGCAGCTAAGAACAAATGCCAAAATACCAAAATGTCACTAAGTGGACTTACATACCTATGGTAATTCAGAACAGCTACATGAACGGCATATTTTAAAATTAGAAGTCTGAGCTATCCCCATTAAAACAAACAAACAAACAAACAAAAGAAAAAGACATGGCTATCTGATTAGAACAAAAACATCTGAATAATAAATGAAAGAGAAAAATGTCTAAAACTAAAAATAGGAAAAAATTCTGGTCTAACAGAGATTGGACCTTCTGCACACAGAATTTCTTGTATGTTATTTCAACAATTAAATGTTTTTCACATTTTGCATTTTAAAATTAAGACATTCACCCTGAAAAAATATATTATCCATGAGTACAGACCACTATTTTGATTTGAGGACTCTTTGGAGAATCTGGTTAAATATATGGAACTTTTCTCAGGAAAAGGCCCATTTTTGTAGAATTTTAAGGGAATCCCGAAACTCTGCGTGGAACTCAAATTGTGTAGAGAGCGCCCTCAGTGAGTTTAGTGAATAGTACGTCAAATCAGATTGCCACTAGACAGGTAAAAATTTGTTTACTCATTAGCCAGTTAAATACACACACCCACCAGCCAGAGCACGACTGGGTACAGGCCCTGGGCTATGTAATACCGCAGCGTGCCTGACCACGAACTTGACTTTTATTTCACTGTCTCATTTCCTAATTTTGTCTCCAAGTGGGAGGAAGCATCCTAATTCTGTTCTGCTGCAAAACTCTCAGAGTCAGGCTGTTCACATCTCTCGCTCTAGTTTCCTCACACTCATCAGCTCTGACTGAACGTCGCTCTCTGGGCTGAAACTCCCAGCGGCGCTGGTAGGAAGTGACTGCACAGCAGAGCTCGGAGAGACGCTCTCAGTTACTTTGCTCATTTATTAGCAACATAGGGATTGTCTCCGGCGGGGGGCGGGGGGGGTGGTGCGAGGAGGGGACACTGTTGAGACCTTAATAAGAACAGCTCGTATGAGGTCGTTTTCTGCAAGCAATTGGCCCTCTGGGATACTCCCCAGATTTATTTATCCCTGGTTTAAGACTTATTTTTAGGATCAAAACTTCCAAAAATAAGTTAGTCACATTCTCCAGAATTGGCTTACATTCGTTTTTTGGATGCTTAGCCCATGCCAGCAACATAAGCCTCCAGGCTGTGTGTATTGCCGAAGGCAGTAAACCCTCCATGTACACTTGGGAGCAAACCAAGATGAGCCCCGTGGTATGTATACAAAGCCACAGACATGACACAGCACAAATCATTGGATGGCATTTGCTTAGGTCCACCAGAGGAAAGAGTGACCGCTTCCATAAAGGTCTCTGAGCCATCATGGCGCCTCCGATGGATCACGTTCTGAATTTACTGACGCACAAACTTTGTACTGGGGGGTTTCCAATACTGACAGGTCTGATCAGCTGCCTCTTGATGTCAACATGCGAACCGAGGCCCTGAGTGTGGCTGGTCCTACTGAACTGTGCGACACAAAAAGTGGTTTGTGTTGAGGGGGGAACCACCTTTTCTAGAGTCTTTCTGATGGTACCTGCAATGACATAATTCCTAACTGGGCATGGAAGCAGATGGTGAGCTTGCCAAGATAATATCCAGGAAGAAATACTTCTTCTCCCTCAGCCTCCCCTGTTATCTGGTCACCCAGGCCTGAGAGAGGCTCCAGAGCCTGAGGCTTCTGAAAGGTGGAAGGAATGGGCGGGAGCACCGTTTCTGCACACATCCCCTTCTGTCCACCAAACTCATGTAGACTTTGGAGAAAGAATTTTTTAAAGTCTGTTTTTGGATGTTCTGAGGAATTTTACCACCAACTTCCCCTTTCCACCTTCCCATGTATGGGCCATGATTCTTCTAAAGTTGTGCAGTTTAGGATAAGACAACAACGATTTTTAGATTTGTTGATATCTTTAAGATGACTGGCTTTGCAGATAAATGAAACAAGGAGCTTTTATATTGGGGACTCAAAGCACAAGTGATATTAAGGTACAGTGTGCTTTAAAATTTTCTCATTATGGTTAATTTCATTGATTGTTACTGTCCAGTAAAACCTCTACTAACAACTGTATTTTATAATGATGCTTTTTGAATATTTTCTACCTGTAGGTGAATAACGTTAGTGTAGCGTTCTTTACTTGTACATCAAGATAGAAGTACTGTTTACCCCTACAATAAAAGACTATAATCCTATTATTACTCTCTTTTTTATAACTTAAAATTTAAAACTTGGTCCCTAGCAATTGATATGAAGTTGCCTTTGTATGGACGTGAACATGCATAAATGAAGAAAAATGTCTTCCTCTGGAAGGCAGAGATACTCACACAATGTGGGCCAAGTTGAGTGGCTTCTCAGGCTGGTCAGGGAACATGGGGTGCAAGGGCTCACGGCTGGAAGCGCAGCTCAGAGACTTGCTTAATGCATTAGTTAGCTTCTTAGCAGGGGATTTCTGGAAAGAAGAAGAAAGGTAGAAGTGATAAGAACTAACATTGATGTTACATTCTCAGAGATGATTTGTTTTCATAATAGATATTCATTCATTCACTCATTCATTTCTTCATTGATTTATCCATGAAATCTTCAACTACCTACTACTCTAAGGGAATTTGCTCCGTGCTGAAACTAAAGTTCTGGGACAATCCACCAGAGTACCTGCCTCCTGCTATTTTGTGTCAGCAAATGCTGTGATGAGTGGAAGCAGTCATTGTGCATGCGACATCTGAGCTGGGACTGAAAGGACCAGCAGGAGTCCTTCTGATAGTAACTCAGGGGACTGGGAAGGTCATTCCAGATGGAGGAAGAAGAAACCCCATTCTGGAGAGGAAAGTAGAAGACAGACCCTTGAAGTCCTGCACTGCCACATCAAGGACCATGGTCTTTATCTCAAATGCAGAGCGAGACAATGAAGACTTTATACCATAGAGGTGACAGGAGCAGATGTGATTCTAGAAGGATTACTCCTGCTTAAGAGCAGAAAACGATCTGGGAGGAGACAGGAGTGGAAGTAAGAAGGTGAGCAGAAGGTTTCACAGGCATCCGGGTGCAAGATGTATTGGGCATGGCTGGATCCATCCAGTTAAAAGTGAAAGGGAAACTTCAATCAGGGATTTTGGAGTTTAAAATTCATGTTCTTTCCAGAGCATTATGTTATCTCTTTTTCATTTAGACGAGTGGGATGTAGATCTTAAAATTTCACAGCCACTTCTATCAAAAATAATCTACCTCATATAATAAATCTTTACAGCAGCTTTTCCTTTCCACGAGAAGTCACTTACCATTTTGTCACTTGCTTTTATGCAGAGAGCCCATAATTGGCAATACAATGAAGCGACTTTTGTCTTCATGATCTAAAAGCTTAAGCGATAGAAGCATTGTTCAAGAAGTTCCTCTTTGGCTTTTGTTAGGACATATAATTCTTAGAATACCTAAAACACAGCCACTGCAATGGCTTTTCACCCCCATAAACACTGCAGCCTCTTTATCCCCTTGACGGGTCTGATCCTACTTGTAAAGACGTTGTCCTGCCATATAACCATATAATTCTGAGTCCACAATCTCTAAGAAAGAGGCGCCTAAACTGACTTTAGCATTGACGTAAAACAATCAGTAAAAATGCTTAGTCTTCAAACACTAACCCTCCAGAATGTGAGATAGAACAAGTTTGAAAATTGGTAATATATCGACCATAAGAAAATAGAAAACGTTTTCTCCTATCTTCCGTACTAAACAGTGTTTCATAATCTGTGCTGGTATATCCATGCTCAGCATGTGACATAACCACCAGTGACAGGAGGCATCTGCTCTGGCCCAAAGCCCTCAGTATACAACACCTTAGTGAAAAACTGGTACTCAAATTCAGAGTCTGAACGATGCTGAAAAATTAAAATATTTACACTGAATGCTGGTTCCCAATAATCATTCCTAGAAAGAACGTTCTGATTTAAAATGCATTTTCTGGGAACACCTGGGTGTTAAGTGTCTGCCTTTGGCTCGAGTCATGATCCCAGGGTCCTAGGATCGAGTTCTGTATCAGGATATCCGCTCAGTGGGGAGTCTGCTTCTCTCTCTCTCTTTGCTGCTCCCCCTGCTTGTGCTCTCTCTCTCGCTCCCTCTCTCTCTGACAAATAAATAAATAAAATTTATTTTATAAATAAATAAATAAATAAATTATATATTTATAATACATAATAAAATAAATTATAATTATTTATAAATAAAATAAAATAAAATGCATTTTCTGAAGACCCTTTAAAAAAAAAAAGAATAACTTACTCTTTAAGTAAAGGGTATGTGTTAATTGAAATGCATAAAATCTAGGAAAAAACTCTTAATAAAAAGTTTGCATTTTCTTGTGTAAGAACTACTCCAAGAGCGGTTGGCAGGTTTGATGGTACAGCCCACAAACCCCAATCCATACACAGGGCAGTACTTTCACAGAAGCACAGGAACAACCTCAGGGGACCTGACCTTTGAGCGACTAAGACCTAGATCAGCAAACTAAACCGCTTGAACCCCGAGCTCACCCAGTTGGATTCCTCCCACACATGTATCACGTGGACAGACTCTCACAGGTCACCTCTGGCAAGCCGGTCACTTACAGTTTACGCAAGGATGATCTGCTCATAGAGACTATCTCCCTGCCTCCAAAAAAGGAAACTGAACAGCACTCGGAGCCCACAGGCTCACACATCTTTCCTTTTACGAGCTCTAGCCATGCACTTAACGGAGCTCCAGTATCTGAGAGCCAAGGAACTAATGATAATTTTTAAGAAATTCCCACACCCAAAACAAAACAAAACTCGGAGAGAACCTTAACTTACTGTGAAAACGAAATTATGTCCCAAAGTTGCTAGTTCGGTTGTTATCTAAGCCAGTACTGAGCTGTCTGCGTCCCAAGAAGTAACAGAGTGTGAGTTCCTAAACTGTAAGTCCTAGAACACGACACTGGCTTCAGATGCCGCAATGAAGATGGCCCAGTAAGGTGGGGGTAGGGTGGAGGGAGAGGGGAAGGAAGGCGTGCTAGAGCAGAAGTTAGGGTTGCTTCTTGATTGTCCCGCCATCTTTGCTGGTCCCTTGCATTCTGAGTGACGCTCACACATACGAGGGTAAGTGTTGCCTGGACCTTGCCTTACCCATGAGGTGTACTCTTTCATTTGGTGCTGGTTGCTATGGGAACCGCCAGCATGTCCCCTCCAGAAGCAGTCCTGACAGAGCTGGTAATTGTGACACTGTTGGCATCGGTAGCGGAATCCCATCATACTCTCACTGTGGCAGTAGGAACATTCAACCGGATGGAAGACTACGGGGGAAAGAAATGGAGAAAAAAAAAATGAGAAAATAAAAGTCTGAGCCAGAATAAGGAAAAATGCAGCCAAACAGGGACTGTGTTTTTCTGCTGTGTGCCTTGATTTCAGAGGCTAGTCATTTCTGGCTGAGGGGAATTATGTTTATTCCTGGACTCTCACCACCCTTTTCACGCATGTGTGTGGAGGTGGAGGAAATGAAAGGGGATGGAGAATAGGTCTTCTTTTAACCACAAATTTCTCTCTCCATTTCCAGCTCTTACACTATGAGAATATAAATTACCTAAACTGACTCGTCTTTCCCCCAAACTGCTCCCTGTCTCCAGGAGACCAGCAGAGCTCCCTAGAAGACTCAGAGGCACAACAGATGAACACAACTGACTGTCCACTGGGTGGAGAGCAAATGTTAGAGAAGTGGAAAACGGGGAGAAAAAAGAAAGGGAAATGAGGGAGAGTATGAAAACTGGATAAGAGAATTGAATTATTTAGTTAAAAAAAATGGAGTGGCTGATTGTCTTCTTTCATGACTGACATTACCTCCATTTAACAATTTTTTCTTTCTTTCCTGAGAGACAGTTGGACAGAGCCCAAAGAGATGTGTAAATGATGTGAATACACTTCTAATTCAGATAGTTTGAGGGACACTGATCTCTCTGTGACAGACAATTGGAATTATAAAGCAGGCAAGGTAAAATACTTGAGATTTGAGGCTAACAAATAACCAAATCCAAGTAATTGTCTACACGTTATGAGCTAAAGATATTAAACAGCAACAATTCTTGCCTTTGGTCAAGCTACTCTTTATGTAACCACAATCACTGAAAGCTCCATTCAGAACATATGACTGAAGATTAGCAAGGTACCATAATCTAATTTTTCCCTCTATCTCCTCCGCCTATTCTTGGCCGAGTGCCTAGGAATGGTCAATGCCATGTACACCAATATTGGAATTTCAGACCTAAAAATAAACCTGGAAAATGTCATATTCATTATGGAGATTCTTCTCCTGCTACAGCAAGACTACAGCCCCACGTGACTTGTAACTGAGAGACACATGGTGAGATTTAATAAGCGTATGGGATCGACAGTCCTAATTTTGCAGTGGACCTCAAAGGCCTTACTGATCAAGGAGAAAGTTTCTTTCAAAACTCAAGAATTACTGAACGACCTTTGTTTAATAACTGTAGACTTGACAGCCTGCTAATTCTAAAAACTGCCATAGCTCAGGAGTAACTACTCACCATTCTCCACATTCGCCAGACGATGCAGAAGGGGCAGCCAGACCAGACACTGGGGGGGAGGGTCAGACATGAGAGTGTCCAAGAACCCATTTAAGGTGACTTTTTTCTGCATCAAAAAACCCACAAAAATTTAGAACCATTTGAGATGAAAGACACAAGACATTCAATGAACCTCTAACATATCAAGAAACAGAATATATTCTGATAGCTGGAGAACCAGTTCTGAACTTAAACCCTTTGGTTTCTTTTGACACTTCCGCACACGTAGGACTGGGTTATCTCCGTTGAGGCTGAGTCCATATTGCCAGAAGGAGAGCAACAGTTCTGGGAGGGGTGCTTTTGTGTATGAGGGACATATCAAAGTGATGAGGAAAGATGAAGGGTAGACTTGCTCTGTAAAATTTGACCCAACTGTGGGTCACAGCACGTGCCACAATTCCCAGAGCAGGTGGTCTTCCCCATCTGTAGAACAATGTCCCTTTCAAACTCCCTCCACTCCCCTAAGTCCTACATACTTCATGGTTAATATGAATGGTTCTGCGATACAAGATCAGCAGGGAGTCCTGTTAGGAGGGAGCGATCCTTTGCTGTGAGGAGAGAACCATCTATATTTTTGAAAATCCTTTTTCTCTTTATAGATCTTTCCTTTTAATTTAGTCTGCATCTGTTCTCACTATCCTGGTCCTTTCCAATGCAGAAAAGGAATGTATTATAAGTTTCTTTCAAAATGACAAAAAATAAGAAGTTATAGGAGTACAAGATAGTATAATAGGATGAATGATAACAAAAGACATGTTTATACACAAAAATCACTATTTTGGAAATTTTGAATTATAATATCAGGTGGATGGGGTAGGTTTTTTTTTCTTTTTGTTTTTAAATTTCTATTTTAACTCCTGTATAGTTAACCTACAGTGCTATATTAGTTTCAGGTGTACAGTATAGTGATTCAACAATTCTATACATTACTCAGTGCTCATCGAGATGGGTGCACTCTTAATCCCCATCCCCTCATCAACTCCCCCCGGTATCCATCTATTTGTTCTCCACAAAAGAGCCCAAATAACCAAAGCAATTTTGGGGAAAAAAAAAAAAAAACAACAACAACAAAAAACGAAAAACAAAAAAAGAAAGCTGGATTCTAGATTTCAAGATATACTACAAATTGTAGTAATCAAAACAGTATTGTACTGGCACAAAAACAGATCAATGGAACAGAATAGAGAGCCATAGAATAGTTTCATATCTTTAGACAAGAAATCAGTAGTGGAGAGTTCTAGTATATTTTCAAGGCACCTATGTTAACACTAATCCTTGTCATTCACTCACAAGATATTTTGGTATGCTTCAATTAATCTTTTTTTATCAGCAGATATTTATAATTTTAGCCTTTCCTTGTAATACTAAATAGCTTAGGTTTTATAGGATTGATAGCAACATTATTATTAAAATATATTTTATGTAAAGTATAAGTAATGAGACATTTTTGAAAAAGCCACCACAATTTGTAGCATCTAAAATAATTCTGTCTTTCCAAAAATCACTTGGAATGGCTTGTACTTTTTCCAATGAAGCAATGCAAACAAATTTAAAGTGTCATCATTCAAACTGCTGTGATAGTTTATGAAGGACAAAAATAAACTGGTCTTATTATTTTTATTTGTGTTGCCTCTTTTTATACTTCCAATGATCTTCTCCATTTTGATCATTCATCATACTGGCTAAAAATCACTTCTGACAATTCCCAAAAATGTTATTACGATTTTGACATATATAAATTTCTCATCGTTGAGGATATATAAAAATTTATATAATAGGACAGTCTACAAGATATTTCAAAAGGACTTTTGAGCGGCAATAACATCATATATATAATTCTTATTGAACATGTAGGTCCTAGGAAAATAGATAGTCATCAAGAGAGTCAAAAGCAAAAACAAACTACTGGGACTACACCAAAATAAAAAGCTTTTGCACAGCGAAGAAAACCATCAACAATTGTACAAATGTACAACAAACCCAGAGGTAGGGAGACCAGCATGGAGGTTAACACAATAGGCCAGGCAACAGATGAGGATGAGGAAAGAGATCAGAGAGACATTTAGAAGGGGAAGACAGCAGGGATTGAGGACTGATGAGAACTGCGGGTTGAGGAAGTTGTCTGGAAGGAGGCCAAGGTGAATGGAACCATTCTGACGTGACCAGCTCGAAGGATAAGTATAGAGAGGAGTGTGCTTTGGCTGGGGACAGAGATGAGGGACCTAAGCCAGCCAGGGGCTGGGGGAGTAGGAGGGGTCAGAAAGGCCTTCTGGATGAGACAACATGGAGTATCTCCAACCGTCCCATCTCTTATTAGTTGTATGGATACCATTATGATTCTACAACAATCCATGACCCATAGGGATGTCTAAGGCACTTCGACCTCATAGGTCACAAGGAAACAGACTGATGAAGTTACTAGGTGGGCAGTTAAATGCAGCTTTTCAGGGGCTCCTATGCACTGATTTCTTAAGTAAGGGATCCTTTTAAAGGATATTCTTGGTTAGTATGAATTTTTAAAAAATTTCGAGCAAAACCTTCAATTTCTGGGTTTGTAAATTATCACTGAGCTGTGCTGGAGAATGGTGCTGGACATGCAGACTTTGTACGTGACTGGGCAGATGCAAACATGGAAAGCCCCAAGAACTCAATAGCTTCTCTGGGCCAACTTGTACCACCCCCACTTAAAATTTGTCACTCTGAACTCCTAATGTATCACGTCAGGGGGAACTTAGCCAGCTGTGTTTGTCATACATTTGGCATACGCTATATGATTCCTTTCTTGCTTCCTTTGCTGCACATTGGTGAAACTTGGCACTGGCTCAGACTTGTGTTTCATGTGAGGCTGAGTGACAGTTCAGCTCTTTTGATAGGACAGTGATAATGACCGCAATAATACCAAGGGTGGAAGTTCGTTGTAAGGATTAAATTAGACAATGCAAGAAAAGAGCTTAGCATGGTACCTGGCTCATGGTCAGGAAGTACCACCAATTATTATTTTCTAGGTAAGCTGATTTGAGTTACTGGCTCGGAGGTCATTTGTCAGAGGCTGGGAGATACTACAGGTTATCATGAAGAGGAGTTTAAGTGGCGACTTGATGTAACATACCGAAGGACAACCTAAGAGACATTTCTTTTTTTTCCTACCTGTTGAGAGAAACAGGACCTTGCTGACTGCTCTGTGTAACCGAATGAAGGGCCTTCAAAAACGGCTGTGGGTAGTTTGAGAACTTCCCGGAGGAATTGATCATATCGTCCATAAACCATCACCCCGCTGGAGTCAGAAATCATGGAGAAAATATCTGATGGAAGGAAAAGGAAAGATATTTACTCATCCCATGAATATATTCTCTACCGTTTCAGTGAGACGTATCTGCTGCAAATAACAAAAACTGTAGCAGAATAAGTAATTTTTTATGAAAGAGTAACACAGAAGTTAATTGTTATGCTGAAATATTCCTGGCATAGTGTTGCCTTTGGTGTCTTTTTGTTGCTGATTCTGAAACATAGCATTAATTTGGGTAAAATTAGCATATTTTGATAAGACAGCATCCCATTTTTATTTTGAGGTCAGTTATAAGCTCAGACATCACTCAATGGAAGGAATTTTTAAATATGTGAGGGATATGCCGATCTCACTGAAACACACAAAAAATATTTGCCATAACATTGGGGTGTGTATGTATCTAGCTAGCTAGCTATTTACTCATCTATATCACCACCAAGACCTTTGAGTTTTGTTTTAAGATATTGAAAAACGAAAGACACAATGGGGATAAGGATGTAATGAAATCACCTGATTAACTTCCCACAGAAGCAGAAAACTTTCTATAAATCATGGTGTTCCAGGTTTACAGGGAAGAGTCTTTTGACTCACATAGTCGAGGGGGAGCCTGGCCTTGGGGAAGATCAATGAGGTAAAGTCGGAGTCCTGGGCAGAGTCTGTGTCTTCACTGAACCCCTGTCCTTCAGTTTCTGCCGCTATGGGCACTTAGTGAATATTAATGGCATAATTTCGCAAGGTACTTTATAATCCTCTGTGGAAGTCACTACGGGAATGAAAGCAAATGCTATCATAGTTTGTCACCAGGCTAGATTGTAACTAGGCCAGCACAGCTGTTGGGATAAACTGTTGTAAATTCAATGTGTTGCCTCTGTTCATTTTGGGCTTAATGTCTCAAGGTCAAAATGCAATCTGGGGACATGGTTTTTACACTGCAGTCAGATGGTAAGCCTATTACAGGCTTTACCTGGATTATGTTTTGAGGATGTGAACTGACTCATTGCCTTCAAATACTCCATTTATAAAGAATTTCTACTGTGTTTCGAATTGTTTATCAATTATGAGGCTAAAGAAATTTTACCTAAGCTACCAAGTTAATGTTGTTCTCATCCACCTTCACAATTTTATCTCTTATGTTTATCTCTTTATCTCTTATGAATTCATTATAAGTGGTCAAAAAAAAAAAAAGAAAAAAGTTGCTAACAGCAAAAAAACTCTTATGTAATCCCACATATATAGAAATGCAAGAATTCCAATAAAAACGGAAAAAAAGAAAACCAGGTAAAGGAAATGAACTTTCTTATCAGAGCTGCCATCTCGTGTGTTTTTAGGTAGGCTGGTCAACTATAATTGGGTCATCCTGATGCTCTTCAAGCCAGGAATTTTCTAAGCCAGGACACATTTTGAAAAGTAGCCTAGGTCTTTCAAATCACCCACAGAAAGAATTTAGACAACAACTGTAACTAGAGCAAAAGCTGAAGGAGTACCAACACTGACCTTTCACAAACTTGAAGCTCATATTAAACTTGTCTGTGTTGATGAAGCTTTGCGAAGCAAGAGCCAAACTAGGGCTAGGTCACTGGGATCAAAGGGAAGGGGCTGTTAATGGCCACTCTGGTTTTTCAAAAGAAATGAGGGACTCTGAGGAAGCGATCAAAATGATGTTTGCACCTTAGTTCTGGGCTCTCATGTTATATAACAACATATATATGCACATATGGCTATGACAATATACATATACACATATGTAATATGCTAATAATATGTAATATATGTGTATGTAATAAAATAGAAGGTTTTTCAAAGATTAAATTAGTCAACAGACAAAAAGCATACAGATATAAAGGACACAGACTAGTGCTTGACACTTAGTACACAGTACAGAAATGTGAGCTGTTTTTACTACTAATTTCATGTCACATTTTTTTCTGTTATTTACTTTAGATGCTTAGGCTTTGCCTCCCCCATGGGATTGCTCTGTAATGTTACCAATCATACTCTAAATCACCTCTGTATTTCCGACGGCACCATACAAAGAGAGATACTTTAGAAGAATTTATATTCACTGATTCATTCATTTTAAATTAACTTAACACATACAAAATGAGTAAAACTGTGCTAAGCAATGACTACACAGAAAATCCAGGACATAGTTCTTTTTTACTTATTTTTTTTAAAGGAATTAAAACAAAATTTTATTTGAAAATAACATCAAACTTAACAAAATAATTGCAGGAATAAGAGTACTCCAAAGAACACTCACACATAACCTTTATCCAGATTCATCTATGAACCCTTTATTCTATTTACTTTATCATTCTATCTATCTATCATCTATCTAAATATCTGTCTATCTATCATCTGTCTATGTCTGCCTGTGTGTATATATGTGGGGCAAACATACAATTTTTTTCTGAATTGAGACTAATTTGCATATATCATGGCTTTAACCTCTGAACGCAGCCAGTGTGTCTTCCCTAAGAGTAAGCGTATATCCTCTGATGAGATTACAGCAAGGGGCAGCAAACTTTTTTCTGTAAAGGGCCCGATAATGGTATTTTGGGTTTTGTGGACTTCATATGGTCTCTGTCCATACTCATCTTTGTACTTCATACAACCTTCAGAATGTGGAAGTTAGTCTCTGCTCACAGGCCATAGCTTGTTTACCCTGGGTTTCAGGGTAGTTAACCACTTTGGTATATTTAACATTGATACATCGATCTTATCTAATATTATCTGGCCTCTTGGTCATATTCCAATTTTGTGAATTGGTCAGTAATAGGACATAGTTCTTGACCTCTGGGCGGTCCCAGTCCCTTGAGGGTACAGAGACGTGCTTACAGACTGCGTCCTATGACATTGTAAGTCCTCCGCGGTGGTGTGACTACTGGAACAGGAGCGTGCACGGGCTGCAGCAGGAGTGTGAACAGAGGGCTTCCAGAGTGAGGGAAGATTTCCTTACCGAAGTGACTTCTAGGTCTTCCTAGGTGACAGAGGGGACTTCTAGGCCAAGCGTAAAGGACAGTTAGGGGCTAGTCAGGCTTTAAGACACAGAATCAGGGTGTGTGCACGGGCACGCTCAAGCACGATGCACTCAAGGCTCTTCAAGGAGTTCATTGTTCCAGGGGCCCTGGGTGCCCACGAGGGCATGGTGGGAGACGAGGTAGAGATCTGAAGAGCTTTAGGCCTCTACTAAGGCGCTTAGATGGTGTCCAGAAGATGTTTTGGGAGATGCTAAAGATTTAAGGCAGGCCAGTGAGTTAGAAATATTACCCCGGGGGGTAGGTGTGGAGACAGAACAACAAGTTCAGTTATGGAAACCCAACAAATCCCTGGTGTTGGCCACAAGGCTATTCTTGTCAACCAGCCTTCCCCAAACGTTTTAGCATAGCATGTGACATTCCAGGCCAGCAGCACTGTTTTCAAAATTTTTTAGGATCCTTAGGACCGTCTGGGAGCCCCAGGGAAGAATTATAAACAGGTGTCCCAACTCATTACAGCAACAGCTTATAAGTGGACCAAGAACGATTTGACACAAATACGGTGTTTGATTAGGTCAGTCTCTGTTTAGGTCGCCGTGTCCTCTGACTGCGGGGGCAGCCTCACACTTGAGGCTGCTGTGGTTACGGTCATGAAGAGCCCGCATATTGGTTCCTGGCGGCCCTGAGGGCTGGAAATTGTGGTGCAACATGGAGTTGTTGTCCCTTTTCATTCATTTTAAAGCAGTTGGAAAAATTTAGTTTAATATCTTCTATCTTCCACTTTTTGCCTTCTAAAGTTCTTAATTTATTTTCAGCAATGACTCTTGCCCTGCCCTCTCCCACATGAAGGGGGTATTTGGAACAAACTAAATACCTCTCATCCTTATGCATGAAAACAGAAAAATTGCCAAAAGAGCACAGCTGGCATATTGGCTTAAAGTGAATTAGAACTGAAAGAAGGGAAAACAAAACCCTCAAACACTGAGAAATTCCATATCCTTTCATTTTACTTTTTCTTAGTACAAAAGCAATGTGGAAAATCATGACTTTGCCTGTTTTATCAGCAAGAGCAGCCAGCAAAAGAAGACCAGAGAAAACCCTCACAATCCCACTCCTCAAGAGTCAGCCTCTGTTGTCTGTGGGCAGATTGGCTCATATTTGTGTATTCAGCTAATAATTATCACTGAAGCCAGAAATACTGGTGACTGAATATATTTATTTTGACTAACTAACATCTTGGAGAAGTTCTTCCAACCAAAGTGCTTTCAGTTAAATTGTGTTTGTCAAATTGCTCCCAAACAACTTACCAGGAAACCACGAAAACCACCTTCTTGGGATTCAGTAAACAAAGAGTGACTCCTCAGCAGGGCAGCTGGGGCTACATTAAGCTGTGATTCGGATCCACTCCACTGTGAGAGGGCAATGTCATAGCTCTCATGATCACATGATCTGTTTTTGGCGCTCTTTAGAATTTGTGACACTGAAACTGATTTCTGCAGACTGAAGAACACAGTCTACTTCCAGTGAGACTCATGCGTTGGTCAACTTCTTTCACCGCACTGATGAGGGTTTACTTTGGCTACTAGGTAGCAAGCACGCTTTGCTCATCGAGGGTGGGGTGAAGAGAAAACACCCTAGGGGTGACCTTGTTGGCTCTGAATTCCTGGACATGCAAGAGATCTGCCAGGGTTTTGACTGCTGGTAAAGTTCTGCTCAGAACCTTAGTTATCTTGAGCTTTTTAACTCTGCAGACGTGGTTCCGTGCTGACCTAACAACCATTCCCTTGGTCTTTACGGGCCCCCAAATTCTTCCTGGGCTAAGAAGGGAAAGCGGTGTGCCATTTCCCAGCCCAGCAGGTGGGAGCGGGTTCCTGCATGCCTATCATGGGCATTCCTTTCTTGTTACCAGTGACTGATGGAGTCTTGGGCAATGACACGTACTGGCTGGGGGCCTCTGGAGTGAGATGTGACTCCCGAGATTGCCAGACCCCTTCTCCCAGGAGAGACAGAAACTCTGATACCAATGAAGCCTGAATGGGAAGATGGAAAGCACTGTGATCCTTGATGGCACGGAATTATCCTGGTTCATGAAAGGCTTCAAGGACCCCCGGGAAGGTCAGAAAACTGGTTCTCTCGGTTTTCCTGAAACTTGTTTTAATATGGAATCCTTTTATCCAGTCCCTATTAATGCAACATTGAGTAAGTATTTGGGAATGATTCTCAAGACTTAAAAACAAGGCATGTATCTAATGCCCTCAGCATAAGTAGCCAACTGTGACACGAGGTCAGCACACAAGGCCCTGCAGAGTTTCCTCCTCTGCCCTGCTTTGTTTTGCTCAACTTTCTCCTCCCAGCCTAAACCTAGAGGAAATGCCTCATGGATTACTCCGAAGCTATGTTTTAAACAAGGACATTGGTCCCACCACCTTCTCATTTAGTTATTATCCTCACTCAAGCACTCGGGCAGATAGTTTTTAATTTTAAAAATAGCTTTCAGGCTAACTAAAGAGAAACTAAACTCTCCCTTATAAAGCCTGCTTGGGCTTCTCTGAATCTGAAATGCATTTGGCTGGTCTGTGGAAGGAGGCTTCCGAAGTGAGGGGGGAATGTATGCTTGTGGGGTTTCCGTGTGCCTTCCACTCATCTACCTGTCCAGAGACATAACTCTGTTTTGGAGTATGTCTGGGGAAATTCCAGAGGAACAAAGAGGGTTTTTTTTTTGTCCCCCTCCCCCTGTATCTTTGTTTCTTTTCCCCCTCTTTGTGAAAGAGATCACACTCCGAAGCTGACAGGCAGCAGGTGAGAAAAGTGCCTGGAGCCTGAGAGTCACAGATGAGTGGAGCTCGGAGGGACCCTCTGGGTATCTAACAAAATCCCCAAATTTGGGATAAAGATGGAAAGGAAAGACTAAGGAAGTAGAGTAACTTCCATAGGGTAACTCAGCGAATTAGTCACTCAGCTGGGCTTGCAATCTGGGTTCCTGATTCTCATGACAGTGCTCTTCCCCACACAGCCTTATAGCCCGAACTCACCACATTTAAGGTAAGGGAAAGGGGTAAGTGGAAATTTTTCTTTTAAATAGCAGCATATACATCATTTAAAAACAGTTGAAAATGAAAATTCTTGCCCCCTACTCTCACGCTAGGTCTTCTGAAACAAAAAACAAAAATCTAGAAATCTATGATTTCAAAAGTCCTCTGGATGATTCTATATTCATACACACCAAAATTTCAGAACCACTGGTGTAGAGAAAAAAGTCAGGTTCTGGTACCACCTTAGCTATATGACTTACTTTATTCTACCTCTCTGAGTCTCAGCTTCTTTACTTAAAACAAACAAAACTTTCATGTTTTCTTGGTTAAAGTACTACCACATTTGGTGACAAAACGTACATAAAAGGGGCCACAATCACCCAATGCACCTTAGCTATCACATTTTTATTGGAATCCAGTTAATTCTCAGTCTGTAGTGTTTCTATGCAATTCTTATGCCTATACCCTGGCAATGTCTACTTGGGAACCTTGGGGTTTCCCAGTGACTTGAACAGCACAGGCTAAGAAAAATGAAGAAATATGCCAGGAGCTTTGACTTTACATTACCTAAAAAAAAAGGAAGGTTGCCCAACATGGCCTTCACAACCCTATGAAGATGGACTTATGCCTGTAAGGCTGTATAGAGCAATGAACTTGAAAGGATATACATCTTACTTTAAAATTATAAGAAGTCTAGTTGGTGATACTCAACAGGCTATAGCTAATAATAATCCATAAGTGGAAGGAAAACATTCATATCATTAACATTTATCTAATATGAAAATATTTCTGTGATAAAATCCAGAGATCCATGAAGATTATATTTCAAACAACTCTCATAGAATGAGGAAAGTAAAATGGGCAGCAGGACACGGGAGTACACAGGAGGGATGAGCAGAGAGAGACACCAAGAATAACTTACATCTTAATTTGTCCATGATCTTCCCTCCACACAACGTGGCTAAAGCCATTTTGACAGCAAATACTGAAATTTTACCATGGCCTTCCCTGTTTAATGATAAGAGGGGGGAAAAAAAAAAGACTTCATTTGGAGAACTTTCAGTAATGAGATCTGACATTTTCTGTTCTGTAGAAATCATAGGATACTATAACTGCATACATTATGTGAACATATCCATTTTAGAAAAGACCATGAATACAATTCAACACAAATTTCTGAAAAGCTGTCTATTCAATATTTCCTTTTTTCAAGAGAGCAGAACCTTCAAGTTATTGTTTGTGTATGTCACTTGCTCAGAGCATAAACTGGCATCTAGAGGGATATGTACTATTTAGCTACAGATTACAATTACAGAACATGATTTTCACCCTGGGTTTCATAAAATAATTTTATGCATGATGATTCCACAGTCTCTATAACTTATTTAAGCAAGGTTTCAGAAAGAATTTTTTTTTGGTCAGAGAATTCCTGAATTTTGTTAGAGTAACTATGGGGAATTTTCCATCACAGTTTTTTTCACCCGTCATTTCCGACCCACAAGCTGACTGTGTGTATGTGATACATTTACTTTTCAAAGAGAGCTGATATTTTAAAGGGGCAAAAAAGGAAGAGCTCTGTTAGAGCTCCTTCAACCTAAATGACACCAGATCAGCCAAATCTTCATTGATTCAGGAAGTATAACTAACTTGTCCTTCACAAAATGTGATATAATGGGATATAAAGGGCACACTGTAACGAGTGTAATATTTCAGGTACATGATTTTCCAGCTAGGATAAACTGTTTATTCTTGTGTCCTTGGAATTAGAAAGTGTATCCCGTTAGTAATTCATTTCTTTCATAGTTACTATTCTTAAGAACGATCAAAGGAGTTATTCAAAATAATAATGGGGCTGAAAGGTAAGAAAAGTCAGTATTGATAAGGGTTTAGTATATAGAATAAATCATTTATATGAAGGTCCATATTTATGACACATTAGGAGAACAAGATATAATAAATAATTGTGTCTTTGTTCATTACTGGACTCCAGAGACAGATCATTTGTCATTCATCCTTGTTGCTGTCATACTCAGCATAGGACCTCAAATACAGCCAGTTAGAATGTAAAACTGACTGAGCCCTATCCAGTGACTCTCCCATTTATCTTTCTAAGCCTAAGCACCAGATCTATATACTTACTTATGAGAAATAATCTTCCCTTGGATACCTCATGTCAAACCAAGTATGTTCAAAGTAGAACTCATGCTCTTCACAAAGCGTTCCCATCATACTCAGACCAACCCACTACTAACCTGCTTCTGGTTATCAGACTTACCATGTACCTAGTTACCCAAAAATGAACCCCCAGGAAGGGGTTACCCTTGACTTCATTCTCTTCTTTAATTCCCCACCACTTGAATAAATGTTTGAGGGACATTTAACGACAGTTAACGATACCTCCTACCTGTATGTTAGAACTATTCCCTGTTTTCCATTTGAACTGCCATTGCCTCACCAGCTCTTGCGTGAACACTGTCGTCACTTCTTAAATGACCTCTCTGCTTGCACACTCACATCACAGATTCAACTACATTATTTCATTATTTAAATCTCTGATTGGCTGTTTGCCTACAGGATATGGTTAGGGCTTCACCTGTGCTCTCCAGTCTCACCTGCTACCATTTCTGTTAAACTCCGCTCCCCAGTCCCACATTTAATGCCCCTGCCCTTCCTACCACCTTTGCCCAGGACCCTCTCTCCTACCTATTCATCAAGACTCAGCTCAGTATCATCACTCACCTCGCTCTGAAATGTGCAGGCAAATACTCTGCTTTCCACTTTCACCTACTATTTGGCACCTATCTCACTGAGTGAACTTAATTTGTTGATTTACATGTCTGCATGTAATGTGACCCCACACTGTGACATCCTTGGGGACAGAGACCATATCTTCTCAATTTGTTGAATTCCTAGCGCCTTCCACTTAGTCTTCCACAAAATTAATGAACAATATATTTCTTATGTTAATTAATGATTACTAATCATTAGAACAGGTGCCCCTGGAATTTGGAATGACTACTCACTTAGTTGTTTCTAATTTTAGAGTAGGTAGCTGTAAGAAAAATGCAATGATTTTGTAAAAAAAGCCTCATTCAGAATTATTCCATGTGTACTGTATTCCCAACTGCATGGATGAACAGAAGTATCAAAAATTTTATTTTAGGAAATAATTAGTTCCCTTTCCTTGGCTGAAACATGGTTCAAATTGTGAGAACAGGGAAATCTACCAAGTGTGGAAGAAGAGGAGCAATGAAGTGATAAAGTAGGCTTCATGACTCAGAGAAATTGAACATTATATGTGAGACTTTAAGAGCAATACAAGTTTCTTTCAAGGAATCGGAGAGAACAATTTAACTCACGAAAGAGGATGGAGCACAGATAATGCTGGCACAGAGAGTTCTCCATAGGTTGAAAGGATGATAGCTCACAAATGAATTCTTAAACCTCAGCTTTTAATGAAGAAGATCACAGGGAGATTGCCAGTTCTGTATTGTTCTTGGAAATGCAAGATTAATGCTATTACATCCAGGAGTGGTTGTATCAGAGCTATTCTGCCAAATTGACATAATAAATCTAGATAAATCACCAAGCGGAGGGCAGCTCAATGAGAGTTTTGCAGGAACTCAAGGGTGAAATTAGGCCACTGGAATGTATTGTTATGCAAGCCAGCGTGCCAGATTGCAAAGGTGACCCTTGTCACTAAGAAGGATTCAGGGGGTATGCAGGAATGCAGATCTTTGGGAAGCACACCACTGCTGGGTGAGTTTAGACCTTGCTCAGCCCAGGATAAACCTTGAAGAAATTTAGGGAGTGAGTGGAGATGAATGACTCCACAATGCAAAAGGTTGACAACCAGGACTTAAATACATGTGGGTCTTTTTAAAGAACATCTTCAGTAGACCTAACAGGATGAAGAAAGGTGGGGGTGGGGGGTGGGGAGAAAGATTTTCTAAAGGCCTTCGATAAGATTCCATACCAAAAGCCATTACTTAAGGTCATCTTGGGATCAGGGTCTCTATTTGTGTGTGTGTGTGTGTGTGTGTGTGTGTGTGTGTGTGTGATAAGAGAAGTGTCGTTAACAAAGGAAACAAGGAGTAGGGAATTGTTGGGATATCCCAAGGGGGACAGTACAAGAGTTATGCTCATTGGGAATCATCCCTTACCAGGGCCATTTGATCCATGAACAGTTTGGGAAATCACTTATGTATCTAGGAAGTGGAAAGTCCAGCTCATGAAGATGGATAACAGGAAGTTCCCAGAAGTTTTGTGCGAACGAGCAGGAAAGCCACATATTGTTCCAAAATGAGTTTGCACACGCAATGCCTCTAGGAGTAAAGCAGTCAAAGGGCACGTATGGGAATGTTGGCCATTGGCCACAACTCCAGAAGCGGACCGGCCAAAGAGTGCTGAGGATGAAAAACATGTACTGTCTCTAATGCTGCAGGCCAAACAGCCTGGGAACGGCAACACCAGGAAGAGCGCTAGAAAAAGTCTATGCTCTTGCCTTGCTTTTACGAAACGCTATGGCAGCACATCTCCAAGTTCACGTGCAATTCTGAGCATCACCTAAAGAAAGACGGGGCACAGCCAGCTGGGTTTGAGTATACCACGTGCAGAAGACAAAAGTATCCGTCAGGACCGTCCACTTCCGGGGTGGGCGGGGCCTTAGAATCAATGACAGGATCACGTGCGCTGTTCTTTGTGAGCAAAAGTTGCTAGCTGATTCTTCAGGAGTGTAAGAGGCACACGAGTGATTTAAAATGAAATTTACTATTAGCCTATCATTTTTTTCCTAAAAAATTTTTATTTATTTATTTATTTTTGAAGTAAAAATTGTACTTATTTTAATATTTTCCCTTTCAATGTGGAGCAAGAACACAATGCATAATCCATCGCTTTCCTCTTTTTCCCCACTATTTAGATTTTGGCAAAATGGAATATATTCTATTTTTTAGGCCAGTTATCCTGAAGCTCTTGCCAATGCAAACTTCACTTTCCCGTTCTAGCTTGAGGTCAAAAACCACACAGGTTAAATTGCTACACCAGTATATAATTAATACCTTAAAGGGTATTTAAGACTATCAAAAAAAATTAGCAAAAGTATAAACTGAAATTGCTTCATAAGTCAGTGTTTCCTTAAATCTTTTATTTCCCTTATACTTTGTTTTCTCACTCTGAAAATTTTCAAATCTTCCTAAGAGGTGACTGATTAAAAATGGAAACCAGAAAGCACTTACCCTTTGGTTTAAATACATGCAAAGATCTGTAGAGTCTCTGTCTTAAAAACATAAATTACTTTAAAGTTTGACTCATCATAATAAAAAGTGAGTAAACTGCATTACACTGGGCTTTTTCATGACCTCACAGAGACAAACTGATTTCTTTGAACTAAGAAGGTATTGGTTTCAAGGAAAAGTTGTCTGGGAGAGAAAATCTGCTTTTGACAAGAAGGGAAAACAACAAATTGATATTGATAGGTTTGGGAGGCTAGGCTGAATTCGGGACAGAATGTAAATTTTTTCCAGGTTGCCAAGCCAGTTTCCTGTTTGAAATGATAGAATCCCATGATAAATTCTAAGTCCTTGAAAATGGATTGAATTCTGACTGATTCTTTTTGGAACAGGCTGCAGGAATTATTTTTCTATTTAAGAGTACTAAAACGAGAAACTCTTCTTATACCAACACATTTCACAAAAACATTTGGTAAGCATTTTCATGAGCATAGAACTCAAATTGCTCTTTCTCACACATTTTGGTGGCTTAATTAACTGAGAAAATTGTTTCCTCCTCTGGCTTTCACAACATGCCTCTATCATAACTCATCTTTATCTGGGAATATCTTGTTCATATGGATCCCTGATTTTGTAACTCAACAGATATTTATTGACAATGCCTTACAGGTTGGGGCTATAAAGGTGAATAAAGTATGGCTCCTACCCCCCAAGTTGGTTCATAGTCTATTGGACAAAAAGAGTCAAAACCAGTTAATTTTAATACACATTTTTAAA